GTTGTTAAACCCTGTAAATAAAGCAAAACTTGAAAAGCTTCACTGAGCCGATGCTTGTCCAATTACTCCCATTTAGAGTCACTTTGCAAAGTTGACCTGCACTTTAAAAAAGTACAGAGAAGGAACCGCATAATGTTACCAGAGCTGATCAGATTGCTGATGCACCCCCACATGTCGAACACTGCACCCCCTTCAACTGAGCCCTTTAGATTAAATCAAAAAAGCTACAGAGCCAGCTTCTAAGGTGGTGGAAGTCAGAGCAATTGCCTTGAAGTCAGGGCGGCTGTTCGGTTTACTGACATCTCACCAATATTATTTGAAACCTCTATTTAGATGGCATCAGCGCCCCGATTCTCAGCCTTCCCGAAGTCTCTTGCTCATTAACTATCCCTGATCAGAGTTGTTTCCCCACCTTAGAGCATTTCTGGCTGCCCTGATACAAGCCCGTGGAGATAACCAGTCCTCAGTCCTCACTGTACACATCACTATACAGTTTTCTTCTTTATTCATCTCTATCGCTAAGAATATACGTCTCTGCTATAAACACAAAAGGTAAGGGAGAGAGAGCATTAAAATGTGCTACTGTACCCATCACAAAGCACTGTGACGTACATAAGGCCATCTGGTAACACTGCAATAGAAATACAAACGAGTTTTTTCAAAGGGAGCTTTAGAATACTACTATTTTTCTTTTTTCTTACTACAATGTATAACCTCAACAATGTTTACAGAGCAATAACATCAGAATCTAGTACATCTTATATAAAACTCTGTGCAACTGAACAATAGCAGAACAAAAAGTCAACACAAGTCTATAAAGCGGTTTCAACGCCTGTAGATTGAAGACGTACTAGCCCAAAAAACTACAAACTTCTCAAGGCGCCTACAAGCAAAACTGGGCATTTTAACCCACCCCTCCCCCAACCGCTCCCAAAACACACAGAGTACAAATTTAGAAACCATGCAGAGGCTGTCCAAAACACCTTCCTATATGAAAAAGCCTGACACAATTAGAGCTTCCAGTTACCAGTATAGTGCTACTTTAAAGTACTGCTCAAGGACTGAACTGGGCTACAACTGAATACCTCCCATATTTTTCCTGTCCACGCTGCTTACAGTGGAGTCGGTGTCACCACTGCGAGCCCCCTGTTCTCCGGAGGTTCAGAATGACGCGGCTGAGATGAATCTTCTTCTGCAAAGTCTCAACTGAGAATATTTTTCTAAGTTTTAAAAGAAGCAACTTACTTAGGCAAATTTAAGTTCCATGAGCATCAAACTAGACCAGTGACCACTTTAAGACGCTTTCTGGGAGATTTACACCAGATCAGATGTTTTTTAAAAACAAAAATTGGCAAGCACTGAATACGTAACATGGCAAATGGATTTCAGTTCTGCTTTCTACTAAACACACAAAACTTCAAATGTGCAAAACCCTTAAAAAGTGGCAACTGCAAAGTGCAGTACTTATTCTCAATATATATTTTAGACATTATCTGCTACAAGTCTGGAAACTAATAGAGAATGAATCTATGTCCCTCAAAAAGTGTGTGTGTTATTCCAGTCTCAATTAAACATGTACAAAAAGCAAGACCAGGTCCCAAAACTGTCAAAAACTGTATAGTTACCGAGGTGGCTGGAGCAGCCATCAATCAGCTGACATATTTTACGTTCTTTTGATGGGAGGTTGAAAGGAAGTCTAACAGTCAAATGAGTTATTTTCCTGGCTTTTGTAGAACCATCCGAGTTAAAGGCTGACATCCCGTCTTAACCGTCATGAGGAAGGGGAAACTTAATAGTCTGCAAGTTTTTTTTCCTCATTTTCCTTACCTGGTGCCACAGTTTAAAGCATTGTTATGGTCAGGAAACCTGTCCTGTAAAGAGGATCGAGATCCCACATGGAATGTGTCCCTCCCATGTCAGCCTGTTCATTGTACAAGACAAAACCACAGCATTTCTAACGTCAAGCTCTGGCTATCTGAAGATCAAGTTCTGTTCTTTCCGCTTCACATGGCACCAGAGAGACAGCCAAGAAATTCAAGCGGCGAGTCTGCTGATGATGCACGAGGCAGAGTGCAATGCTGCTTTCCTTCCTGCAGCTACAACGGCTCTGGGGTGTGCTAAAAGTTGGTAACAGGGGAGGAGGAATACACTCACAAGGACCCGCCTGTCCAGAACCATCCTTCAAGAATGCCAACAAAAATAACCGTCTCAAACATAACCACGATGCGACCAGGAATCCCCTCAACCAGCCAGCTCTCTGCTGTGAACCGAGAGCTCGTATCCAATGAAGAGACTTTGTGAAAGAACTGCATTAAAACCCTAAGTATAAAAAACACTGGTCACTGCTTTTCCTCTTGTAATCCTCCTTTGACTGCCACAGTATTAAAAGGATCGGTATTTGGCATCTTACATGTTAACCATTACTTATCCCACTGGCACTGACCAGATGCTTCCACATCAAACAGAAATTTCGTCAGTCCCCTTCAGAATAAGCAGCGGCCATTGCATTCACCATCACTACATTAAATCACCATTAAAACCATTTCACTAGACTGCCTCTTTTGAGCAGATCCTACTGCACCTTTTTAAAGCATCTGGAATCAACTTCCCAAAGACCACAGTTGCACGAGTGATGGAAGTTAAACTTTGCTGCTGCTGTTGCAGGATGGGCCCTGGGGTTTCTCTCCAACAGGCAAGCTGTGCACTGTGCGTCCTTCTTTAAGCAAGATAATGGGATGTATTTGGTAGCCGTGAGACAAAAAGAAATGCAAAACTCTAGCACTTTTGGTTCAGAGATCATACCTTTTATTAGATCAACTAAGAAACCACAAAAAACTATCATCTCCGAACCAAGAGTTCTTGAGTTTTGCATTTCTTTTAGGCAAGATAAAGCACACAAACCTCATGTCTCAGAGACCCCAAACCACATGGATTTCTTATGCATGAGAACCAAGGACAGAAACAGAGCAAAATTCTTTGAGAGAGCCATAAACCCAAACAATCAAATGTGAATGTCTGTCAATCTTGACAACATTCGTTAGCTACTGAAATAGTCTGATTTCTACTGGACACTTACCAAGCTAGCCTCGTGATACAAGTGAGATGCATCTTGTAAACAAGCACATCTTAAAACTGAAAATAAAATGTTAAATTGTATAGTAAAATGTGATTACATATAAAAATGCTATAAAAATAGTACCAAAAAAGTTCATTAAAAGTAGATACATGAGTGATACCTACTAGATCATCAGATCACCTAGATACCTACTAGGTCATCAGAACTGGAGGCTTCTGAACGCAGCATTGGAAAACCTCACTTGAGTGGATCCGAGTTCTACATTTGCCTTCGCCCAGAGAATTACAGAGTTATTTTAATCAAGTCCTCGTATAACATTTTGATTTGCTGCAGAAGTGCTTGCAGTAAAGTTGAACGAATGAGAGAGATCCTTGCCAGGGTAACACATGGCCCTGGTTTTGAAAAGTGATTGTGTTGCATAAAGGAAGATATATGCGTATGAGTGACTGTCACTGAGGTTAAACTGAACACACAAAAAGGCCAAAAAGAACATACGTGCTAGGTATCTCTGAGGCTGTGAAACTGTAGCAGAGAGAGAAATTATCCCAAGGACCTGAATACCAAGGCCCTTTGCAATGCACATCCCATTCAGAAATGCACTGATGTCAAAGCCCTTCGATGTTCGGTGTATAATCAAGAGTTCTGGAATTCAAGGACTCAATCTTAGCTTGCTTCCAAACTGACTGCAAAACACAACCCTAACTAAGGATGGTGCATGAGAACTAGATTCAGCAACTACCTCTGAAAAACAATTTTCAAAACAAGAGCATTCAGTCTCAAGTGGCCCTTCTGCTGAACAGACAACCTCCTTCTACATTCCCTTCTGCCTCCCTCAGACTGGGATTGCCCTCCCTGCAGGCAAGTGGATACGGAACAAATTGGATTCCTTTAGCGGCAGACTATGCCACATACACCACCTCCCTCAGGATGCCCATCTCCAGCTGCCAGGAAAGCTGTGGGAATGACACCCAGGGAGATTCAAGCCTCCTAAGAGAAAGGAGCAGATATGGCAGAGGCGGCGGCAGGGCAAGCTCCGTGACTTTGCAAGGTTATTATGCAGCAGCAACTGCAATATACAGCAATAGCCATTTTTGTTACCTTTTAGCCAACAATGCACAATGGCACTATAAAGCCTTAAATAAAATAAAAGCCCCTTATTAAGAACAAGTAGCAGGAACCGGCCAGATCACCCTGAAGGAAGCTGGGAGGGTAGTAGAGACTCACAGAAAGTTACACCTACACCATGTGTTGTCAGGAATGTTCCCATCCCAAACCGTTGGCAGTCGTGTCCTTCTCAAATAAGTGTGTGTTTACAAGCCATCTCACTAATGAGGCAACATGTACAAGACCAAGTCACTTGTTTAACAGTGATCTGGGAAGTCGTGATGGGGAAAAGCTAAGCAAACTAGCCTCTCCGCAGTCACCTCTGCCTGCTGCCATCCAAGGATACCTGCTGACCGAACAGCTCTAAAAAGGAGATCTTTTTCTCAGCAGTGGTTAGGGGACAAGAGTCTTCTCAATGGTATGTCAAGAAGCAGAAAATCCCAAGAGGGGCAAAGTAACTTCCAATGAAGACGTTATTCCCCAATAATCAAACAACACAGTGCCCCAACCCCGTCCCAGCCAGTGCACTGCCAAACCCACCGTGGCCACACTTCCTGTTGAAGTTGCAGAGATGGCATCACTCTACTGGACCAAGCGAACCTAAAGACTGCCAAGATGGGTTTGCATTTAGTTCGCTTGCACACACATACTGAAAATTTTATAACCCACAAAAAAAAGGGTAGGTGAGAAAGTGCGAGCGCACACCTACACACAGGTATACTTTAAACAAAGAACCTTGGCTTGTCTTCAGGGGCGCAGGAAGAGGGAAGCAATCATGCTACAACTCTAGTGCTCATGACTTTTTTTTAAAAACAGAATCCTTATTCTGCAATGCCACCCTCCAGGCATCACACTTATTGGGCATAAACTTGGCCAGCCTAATACAACCATCAAAAGTGCTGCTAATTATATATAGATTATATCTATATAAATCTATATCTATATATCTATCTAGATATAGATATAGATATACACACACGCACACCTATATCCACACACAGGCATACACACACACACACACACACACACACACTTCTTTTTTTAGAGCAGGCACATAAGCCACTACATGTAAACCCACAAATCCCAGATGCTTGCTCTCAATTACTACCTGCAGCTCTCTTTCTGCATGTCTACCTTAATAACCAGTGAATATTGCACATTGTCATGTTAAGAGCCAAGGGCTTGTGACTTCTAATCACTACCTGCTGATGTCCAAAACTGGAAGCAGTAACGTGCCTTAAAAAGCAGGCTGCTCACCACCTCTGCTGACTGTCTGCCCCTCTCTGACGCTAGGCATACTCTTTTACTTGTTTTGGGCAGGGGCGTTTAACATCCAATTCTCAAGGGCGATGTATTAAAAGATGAACAATACAGGGTTACGTTTCAATGCTAGCATACGACAGGCCACTTGTACCACATTAAGTCTTGGAAGTGCTCACACGGGTGCGTACAAGTACACACCCACACACACACACACCCCCACACACACACTTAAGAGCTTGCAAAAAGTGCCAAATTGAAAGTCCTGGAGATTTAAGTCCTCTGTTCATCCAAAGGACAGGTGCGATACAGGAAGTAGCGCTGCAAGCCTCCCTCACCTCCACTCTGGAGTAACCACTCCCATGATCATTCAGTCTTCAGCATCTAAGACAGCTAGCAAGGATGCCAATCAGAGGGCACTGTGGTACCCTCCAGCATTTCCAATGGACATGCTAGCCAAAAGGTCATTTGAGGCCACCAAGTCATTGCACGTACATTGACAGCAAATGGAAACCGTTGCCTGACAGCTGCTGGATGACAGACCCAAAAGGGTATAAATCCCAATGCCCAAACCCTGAGACATCCCATTAGGAGGCAGAGAGCAGGAGGCAAGAGGGTTGACACTCTCCCTTCCTGCCTCAGCTCCTCCACAAAAGGCTGGTGGAGGTTTTCATTCCAGGTGCAAATCTCACTTCACGAATACTAAAAAACAGCTCCCAAGAACACTGACAGCAACCCCCACAGGCAGCCACCTGGAGACCATGCACGCCTGGACCTTCATGCTGATGCAGCTTTGTTTGTTCCCTACTTCAGCACCATACACCAAATCTGTGCGTCTTGGTTATCGACACCTCCTCAGATGAAAAGCAAAGCTCTAAACCAGAACCTGAGATGAGAGCTGGGGCAAGTGGGAGGGGAGGCTCTTCCGTTTTGGGTACCACGCTGGTAGGAAAAGAGCAGAACCGTAGCGTTCTCTCTCATTAAGGTCTCCAGCGCAGCAGCAAGACAGCAACCTCACCCAGTACCCAGACAACCCCCACCCCTAGAAACCAGCTACTGCTCAAAAAACCTTCTCGCCGCCAACATACAGGCTTTGTGCAGATGTGGAGGACCAGGAAACAGCTGGCTCTTAGCATTCAAACAATTCCAGCACCCCAAACAAATTCATCCCATTCCCTTTTGTCTCCAAGTCCTGCTTCCTCGCTCCAGGCCTGGGGGGGAATGGAGGCATGTCAGTGCCAACCAACCCAAGAGAGGCAGACTTGCTGCCCAATTGCCCATGTACAACCCCAGCCAGAAAGTGTCCGCTTCTCACCCACCCCATCACTAAGTACATCCTTTGAAATGTCTCCCAGCGAGATGAGATTTTTGTTACAGCAGATAGGACGTTAGCTGTTTTGAGGCTCTGAAAGTTGGCAGACCCATGGAAGAGCTGCATTCAGACCCCCTGACCACGCATTTCTTGGAATACCAGCTTCACTCACAATTGTTCTTCATCTCATCTAGTAGGAGTGGCAGGAGAACGGAGGGTTTCCAGGGTCAGAGAGAAGAGACTTCTTTGACACCGTCTGCTGCAATCAACGCAGATCCAGTCACTGCATCACTGACAGAAACTCCCTTTAGTCAAAGCAAAATAAAAAGTCTTCTTAACCAAGGAGGGAGAGAAAAGTCTGCGGAGCCTGGACTCCAGTTAAGGCGTTTCCCTGTGCATTCCCAATACAGTCTTCAAAAAAAGGGAATTCTGCAAAAGGCATTGTAGCTGGGAATGGCAAAAATCATGTCTACTTATCATCTCTGTGGAATTATAAATTGCTCATTTAAAAACATGGATTACACTGAATGTCATCTCTTTCCCTTGCTCCCCAATTTGTCCTTCTGTGAGGTCATGTGCTATGTCTTCTGCAGGTCTGGGGAAAATGGGCCAGGGGTGGAAGGTCCATCCAGTCCAGAGAGAGTGAATGGCCCATGACTGTTCAGCACTGATGGAAACTAAAAAACAAAAATCAAACAATTAGGGAAGTTTGTTTTTTTTTTTTTAATTTTCTCTTTATCCTTGTGTCTGACTCCTTGTGTGAGGCAAAGCCCTGAAGGCTTTGAGAAAGTCTATTGACTTCCTCCCCTTTCCAAACCCTCATTCAGCCAGGGGAACTTTAAAGATCACTCAGGTCTCTGTGAACCCAAGCAGAACTATCAATGTAACTGCAGCCGACAGCGATACAGTCTGTCAGCTCTCTACCAAGGACAGCCTGGATCCCGAATAATCGAATCGCAATCCACAGCTCTTTAATGCCAGTAACTGTGCTGGGGAAGAAGCGTCCACATGATGCCTCAGTTACTTAACAGGTTATTTAGCCTGTGGGGAATCTGATGACTCTGCAGACAAACATATTGTCAGGCTAGGGAGTTTTAAATGGATGCAAGCTGCAACCTTCATCTCCATGGAAATGTTAAACCTAAACCCCAAACACGAGCCATTAAGTGTCACAGCTGATCTCAGCAGAAATCAAGCGACAGGTGTGCTTATTCCTGTTCTAAGTTGTGAGACAGGGGATGTCCCTTCAACTTCTGCAAGGTATTTTCCCCACATATTTAGGATCATTGAGAATCTCCATCCGAAATGCAACGGACTCAAAATTTCCAGTTGCTAGAGCAGTGTCAAAGCCAAGGACCACACGGCAGAAATATGACCCTAATTACCTCAAAATATACATCTCTCCAAGGCAGACCCGCTCCTGGGATTATGCATGCTTAGTTAGTGTATTTTGATGGGGAAAGCAAAACTAAAAAAAGCTAAAGGAGTCCCAACTAATCAATCTACAATGGAAACAATTCCCATGGAAAGTGAAAGCTTGTATTTGATATTTAAACCAGGGAAATGCCAAATTTAGAGTGTAGGTTGCAGATTAGTGAAAGTAAACTTTCACTGACCTTGAACTGTCCCTCCAAAGCTAACAAAGTTGAGAGACGGAAAACAGAAGTCACTGGGCTTCTTCCTATTGTTGAATAATTAAAATTATCCGCTGAGGCAAAGGAAGCTTTCAGAGGTGGATAGTTGGGAGTTACTGGCCACACACGCCTTTATTATTGATTAACTGAAGTAACCAATTTGTAAATAACGGTGGGGAAATACTGGTAATGTTTGGAGGCAAGACTGCTGCAGTTCACAACAAAAAATTTGGCATACTCTTGCAATCAAAATTTTAGACCAACTGTACCCCTCCCTGCATTCCTGAGACATCACAAATCTCACAGGCACTTACCTGAAAAAGGGTGTTAGCACCTTGCAACCTGGCTGGACTGAGAGGGGCAACTGGACTGAGCGTACTCCAGAAATGGATACTGGAGAGCAAGGGGCTTGGGGTCAGCAAGATGGGAGTCTGCAAGATACACACAACAGTCATGTATATTGTACATCAAGTCCTACTGTCTTAGTAATGATATGCACGTGCCACACTAGGAAGTCTTTACCAGTGTGCTAGATAAGTAAAGAGCTCCTAGTCAGGACGCTGCTATTCAAGTTAAGCAGCAATTTGTCCTGGTATAATAAAGCCATCACAACTTCACAAGCACAAACCACAAGCTATTACCGGAAAAAGTTCGCTGGTGCTGGTTTAACTGTATTCAACCTAACAGCTTCTGCCAGCACAGGCCTTCAAACCCCTGCCTCACACAGCCATGCCAACAAAAGCATAGACATCTTGGGACCAACAACTTGTCTATGCTTCTCTGTAGTGTAGACAGCTTGGGACCGACAGTCTCAAGCCCCGGTGTGTATAAGTAGGGTTTGTGAGGAAGTTGCAAAATGAGAGAGGCCCCGATTTAAATAAGGTCTGGAACTCCTGCAGCTTTGAGGGGCATTTGAGGGCCCTCAACACTGCCAAGAAGCCAGACTCTCATTTCATTTCCTACAGCATTAGGACTTAATTGTAGGTACCCAGATCTGAAAAAGTCCTGGCCCTGACATATACAACGCCAAGGGGGAAAAAAAAAAAAAAAAAAAAAAAAAAAAAA